GGGCGGGGCGGGGCGGGGCGGGGGCGGGGCGGGGCGGGGCGGGGGCGGGGCCGGGGCGGACTCACGCCCACGATGAGGAAGTCCAGCCAGCACCAGGCGTTGGTGAAGTACACCTTGAAGCCGTAGGCCACCCACTTGAGCAGCATCTCCAGGATGAAGATGTAGGTGAAGACCTTGTCGGCGTACTCCAGGATGGTGCGGATGGTGGGCCGCTGCTCGATGTAGATGTCCTCGAAGGCCTGCGGGCACCAGCACGGGGTGGCCAGGGCCCAGGAGGCCGGGCAACCATGTCCCCAGCCCTGCCCGACGCTGCTGGTTCCCAGGGGCCTGGCACGGGGCCAGGCCGGTGGCTTCTCCCAGACCCCCCAGGCCCATCATGGGGGTGAGCGAGTTTCCCGTGGGGAGAAGCTCCTCGGGCGAGTTCCTCGAGGGCTCTGGGCTGGAGCCTGTCCAGGCCGCGTCCCGCCCGCAGTGTGGGGAGGAGGGAGCCCCGAGGGCCTGCTTTGGGCCTGGCACCTGCCTCGGCCCATGCCCATCCCCAGGGCAGTGCCTACCAGGGCGCCACTGCTGAGCAGGATCATGAAGACAATGAAGGTCTCAAACCAGTTGTGCTCGACGATCTTGAAGCAGGCCCTGCGCAGGGTCCACCACGTCTTCCCGCGGCCCTGGGAGACGTCCACGTAGAGGCAGGGACAGCGCTGCACACAGGCTGGGGGGCACAGGGGCACCACGTCACGGCCCGGTGGCTGCCTCCCCATCCTGTCAGCATGTTCCCGTCACCTCCCAGGATGCCCCCAGACCTGCACCTCACTGCCCCCCGATCCCCGGCCTCATGTCCTCCACTGCTGGTTGGAAATGGGTCCGGCCCCTCCCCTAGAATGGGGGTCCCAGGCTCTCCGCCCACAGCCTTCTCCGCCCATGTGCCAACTGCTGCCAGGGATGGATGTGCAGCAGGAAGACAAGCAGGGGTGTGGGCCCCCAGCTCAGGGACTGTCCCATCCTCCCCGCTCCGCCAGGCAGCCTTCACTCTGCACAGCCGGGCCCTGTTCTCCAGAGCTGTGCCCTAAAGGCCTTTCTCCCTGAAGATGCTGCCCAGGAAGACTGTCTCAGCGCTGCCTTCCCTGAGCCCCGCTTCGTGTCCAGGGCTCGATGGGGAATCGGCAAGGCAGCCCTCGGGGTGCTGCCGGCACCCGCTGCACACACAGGTCAGGTCAGGGCTGGAGGCACCCCGGCTCTGACACCCCTGCCTGGTGCTGCAGGGCAGGGTGGCATCAGGGGAGAAGGTCCCGGGTGCTTTTGGTGACATGCATGCCCCGAGAGGTCCCCAAGGAGGCAATGGGCTGGGGTCTGCTGGGCCAGGGGTGCACCAGGCGAGGTGGGGTGCGCGCATGCGGGCTCACCCTCAGTGAAGCACTCCTCAGGCTGCTCCCCCTCGGGGTTCTCCTCCACCTGCTCCTCGGCATCCTCCTCGGGGGGCTTGTAGTCCACTGTGCTGCAGACGGAGGAGTTCCTGTCCAGGGACTGTGGCAGCTTCTGCAGGGGCCACAGGGTCATGTGACCCCTGGGTCCTCCCACCAGGTGGGGCAGAGGAGGTCAGGGTGGGAGACCAGAGGGAGAGGAGAGAGAGGGGTTGGACAGACCTACTCATTCACTCACTCACTCACTCAACCATGGATGATGGAGCGGGCACCGTGGCCCATGCAGAAGAACCAGATACCAAGGCAGCCGTGGTCCTGCTCTTGTGGCACTTAGATTTGGAGCAGGGTAGGGCTCAGGCCTGGGCAGGGGCGGTGAGGATGTGAGTGGACATGTAAAGGCCTCAGGTAAGGGAAGAGGCTGGGAGAAGAGCAGGCTGGGGTGCTGGGGATGGCTTGGGCAGCTGGGAGTTCTGGGAGGCGTGGGAAGGCCTGAGGAGGGCAGCAGAGGAATAAGATGCCTAAAGGTACTTGCGACAGGCCCGAATGGGGGTCAGAACAGACTGGGGCTGCCACAACCCCAGATAACAGTGCGTGGTGTCCCCAGGCCTGTCCCTAGGGGCTGTCTGGATGAGGAACCTACAAAGGACCAACAATTTTCCCAGCTGGAGCTCCAGCCTGGGGCCAAGAACCTGATGGGAGTGGAGCAGGCGGGGAGGCTGGTTCTCCGACCTGGCCAGGCCTCCCCCACCTCCTCCTGGGCCAGCTCCCGGACTCCCCCCCCTCAAGGGGGACCCCTTCATGGCTGGGGGTGAGGCCCCTGAAGAGGAAGATGGAGAGGGCAACTGGATGTCAGCTCTGGATCCAGAATGGTGACCAGAAAACTAAGGGAGTCCTGGTGTCCAGTTGACAGAAAGGGAGACTGAGGCACGGGGCAATAGGTCAGCCAGGGCATCCACTGAGTCAATTGTCCCGCCCATGTGCCCCCACTCCCACAATCCCCCTTGGAATCCTGTTTTCCTGGCTCTAAAGCGTGCTCAGAGCCTTGGCCTGGGTGTCTCCAGCCCTCCCCCACCCCCGCTCCTCATACCGAGGTCCGTGTCAGAGTCCCGGGTATTTATAGCTTGGCAGGCACTCGGCCCCCTGGAAAGTCAGCGTGCCACATATTTGGGGGGAATAAGAAGTCAAGAACTTTCAGGGCAAAGTTCATTTGGGCCCTGGTGCCCAGCCCGGCCCAGAGCCCATAGGGTGCCGGGGGGCAGGGGCTTATGCTCGGTCCTTCCCCAGCCAGGCCAGGGGGTGGGTGAGGGGCTCAGAGTCAGCTTCCCGAGGAGGCCCAGGCAAGGCCCCAGAGCTTCCGGGGGTGACCACCAGCCCCTCACCATCCTGGAAGGGAAGGAGCAGGAGGAGGGGACATTTCAGCCCAGCCGCTGCAGGGCCCCTACAGGGGCTGGGTGGGTGGTCAGGACTCTTACTGAGGCTCCCTGCTCTCTCCCTACCCAAACTCCTTGCTCCACTGCACCTCTCCTCAGAGTCCCCAGCCCAACCTGGCACTCTGGCCCACCCTGGGGGGAAAGGGACCAGCCCCGGGGGGGCGAGGGTGGGCTCTAAACAGAAATAGGTAACAATGGCAAGAACGCAGAGTGGGCTAAAGAGAGTCCTGGAGTAGAGGTTTCACAGGTAAGAACAGCCTGTCCAAGATCGCCACCTGCTGGTGAAACAGGGCCCTGCCGGAGTTGTGGGGGTGGAGTGAAGGGTGTTAGGGCAGGCAGGACCTGTCATACTAATCGTGTCAATAACAGCAGTAACCGTCACCATTTACCCAGCGCTCACCATGTGCTGTGCACACATCCTCTCATCCAAGGTCACCACAGTGACCCCAGGTAGGCACCATGACCCCCATTTTTCAGATGGAGAAATGGAGGCTTGGAGGCTTGAATAAAGTCACACAAAAATGTGAAGCCGTGACTGCTGACCCCCCATGCCAGGCTCTGCGACGGGCTCACCTTGACATCCTCAGCCTCCGAGAAGGTGTCAGTCTCCTCCTCTGTCGGCATCTCCAGGTCGGACTCCTCGGAGGCGATGGGCACGTGGATGGTCAGGTAGGGGTTGTTGATGAAGTTGAGGTGGTCCAGCTCAATGCTGGGGGTTGGCCCGTCAGCCAGGCCCACGTGGTTCAGGATGTGATTGTCCTTCAGGTCCTTGTCACCCTCCTTGGGCGGCGGTTCCTTCTTCTCGTCCTCGGGGGCACTCTCCCCGGCCTCCCCGGCCTCTCCAGCCTCCTCGGCCTCCCCGAGCCTCCCGATTTGGAGTATGATCTCCTTGGGGCTCAGGATCTTGCCGTGCAGCAGCCCCAGCAGGAAGGCTTTGGCGAAGCTGATGCCCCACTTGATGCGCCCGATGGCGATCTGCAGGTTGTTCATCTCGCCGTCCTCGTCCGGGGCTGCCAGGCTGTCGGCGCTAAAGGAGCTCAGCAGCAGGGCCAGGAAGAGGTTCAGGACCTGGGAGCAGGGGTTGGGGAGCCTCAGCTCAGCCTCCGGGCCCCTGAGGGTCCTCAGGCCTCCAGACCAGATCTACCCCATATTGAACATTTAAAACAGCGCCACCTAATGGAGTCCTCACGACTGCTCATGGAGGTGAGACCTGCCACTCTCATCCCCACTTGGCAGGTAAGGAAACTGAGGCTTGGGCACAGACTAGGACGCTGCGGACCGAGGCTGAGGCAGGGCTTGGGAGGCCCCTGGGTGACAGGGACTCTCCATGATGCTGTCCTCCGCCTCCACTGCCAGGGGACGCAGAGCAAAGACCAGGGTGCATGTCTCCAAGCTCCCAGGAATTACTGGGAACCACTTCTTCGAGCCATCTTTTCTTTCCTGATAAGTGGGATTTTAATAGACCCTGTGCTCCCAGTGCTCAGAGGCATGTCCCCTATTGCCCTGGAAAGGGCAGTGACCCCTTTCTCCCATGGGGTCCCCTGCTCCCCCTGGTTCTCTTCCCATAGTCCTGCTGAAAGGGACTTAAGAGGCTTCTGGTCTACCCACTGCCTCCTGTCAACTTTATCTTCCAGTGGCCAGACATTTACTGGGCCCCTCCAGTGAGCACAGGAGCCAGTGGCCTGAGGGAGCTCCCACCTGCTAGAGACAGACATCTGATCAGAAAAATCATATGCAGTGAGTTTGCACGGCCGTGGAGATGGGCACGGAGGCTCTGAGACCATGCTGCTTGGTTTCGAATCCTAGTTTACGAGCTGTGTGTCCAGCGGCAAGTCAGACCTCTGCTGTGTGCCTCGGCTTCCTCATCTGCATCTGGAGATGTTCCCAGTCCCTGCCTCCTCGCATTGTGGTGAGCACACAGCAGGCACTCCAACATGTTGGCTGTTATGTGTGCAATATTGGAAGGCAGGGCCAGGCTCTTTCTCTGGGGGCCTTGGGGAGGCCCTGGGAGCCTGTCCATGGGAACCTCCCACCCTTGCCCATCTTGTCCGCCCGCCTCTCACTGTCTGACTTCCACCAGCGTCCTCCAAGGGCCTTCTGTCATCGTCTTAACCATCGTGTTAACATAATACCTTTAAAACAGACAGGGTGTCCCCACAAAAAAGTATACATTCTTTAACAGCTGACAGCTCAATTTTGAGAAAATAAAGACTGCCTTGATAATTATTCAAAGTATGTATATACATTTTGGGGACACCCTATATATGTGTGGTGTCTTGTATATCTTCTTTCCTTGGGGGAACGTACTGGGGGGATTCTGCCCCATCTCCATACCCCCAGCTACTTTGCTGCCTTTGCCCCCCACCTAAATTTCTTGGTCTTTTCTTCTCTCTCTTGGGGGGAGGCATCCAGTTGCCAGAAACACATCTGAGATGGGAATTAGCTGCTCTCTGGGTCAGCAGGGTTTGCACACGGCTCTTGCCTAGGACAGAAATAGCCTCCTCGGGCAAGGCGGGGAGCGGGAGGGGGGGGGGACTGGAGGGGAGGGGAATGGACATTGTGCCCCCTGGGGGCTCTGAGGGATGGGTTACCTATGACTTAGTCATTTCCCCTCCTTCGCAGGAGCCCAAGGAAGTGCCCAAGTGCCATGGACGCAGGGGACATGGGTACCCACACTCCCTGGCAGGGTGCCCTCATGCCCTCTGCAAACACCTGCCTCCATGAGCCTGGGGGGGTGGGCGGGGACCGGGCCCAAGGAGCTGACATTGCCACCTCCCTCGGCTGCTCCACTCCCTCTGAGCAAAGTGGGAGAACCACAGAGCTGGACCAGAAAAGGGCATCAGCGGTGGGTGAGGGAGTGTGTGCGGGGTGTGTGCGTGTGACACACACACAGACTCAGGGCAGGGGTTCCAGCCTCGAGCCAGACTGCTTCGGCTCACAGGTGACTGACTCACTTCCCGGGGCCTCTGCTTCCTCATCTACAAAGCAGAGCTGAGCACACGGAGCGTATGCCGAGTGCTGGATGAATGTAAACAGAGGCCAGCCGTCCCGTCCTTGCTGGCGTGGATGTCGTCATTGTCAGCACTGCAGTTACTGTCTACGTTATTGTCACGGGAGTTCAGAGACACAGGTTCTAGTCCAGGCTCAGTTTCCCACTAGCTGTGCGGTCTGGGCAGTGCCTCCTTGGAGCACAGAGCCAGCATCACCGGCCTCACAGGGTTGTGGGCAACATCAAGGATGATGCAAATAAAGCCCCCCACGCAGGCACCGGCCCCTGGCAGGAGTGTGAGGCCCCCGATGGGGATCTATGCCACACACGCCTGTGACATTTGAACTCCCCTGACCTCGAGGGCCAAGTGCTTTGCTAATCACTGAGATGTGCGTTGTGTAATCCTCAGGACCACCCGGTGAAGTGGGTCATCCCCATTTTCCAGATGAGACATACTGAGACCAAATAGGTTAATAACTTGCTCAGGGTTTCCCAGTTAGTGGTGGCACAGTAGGGGCTTGACATGATTTTGAGTTTGCACACAAAAACCCCTTGCAGAGCCTTTCTGTCACCCCCAGGTCCTCCAACTACATGACAAACTGCTACTCAGAGACTGCTACCCACACCCTAATCCTGCCCCCGAGGTCTGCCCAGCCATCTTCCCTCTCTTTCTCCACGCCCCAAGACCTCCCTCCCAGGGACAACCAGCCTGGGGCCTCCTGTCTAGCTGTCCCTCATCCCAGGGTCTCCTCCTCAGTTGAGGTGACAACCCACCCCACCAATCTGCTCCTGCCCCCAGCCAGAGCTCAGCGATATCTGAGACGCGCTGACCCAGCAGCCCAAGGATTCCACAGGCCTTTGCAGAACATGTTGGGGAGGGAGGGGGATGGGACGTGCGTCTTCCCGCCTCTGTTGCCCAGGGCAGTGCCTGCCAGCCACTGCAGGGGGCAGCTGAGCACAGCACTCCGGCTAGGACTGACCCCCACGCCACCCAGAGAAGGGGAGGAGTCGGGGTCGACAGGGTGAGGATAGATGCCTGCCAGGCCCGAGCCACAGAAATGCTGGTCAGCTGGACCACAGCCCCACAGCCTGTTTCTCATCAGCCCCTGCACCCCTTCCCTGCACCAGTCCCCCACAAGCCAAGCCCAAAGTGGCAGGATGGAGGCTGTTTGTGCCATCTCTGGATTCTCCCAACACCCGGGGCCTGATTCCCAGGTACAGAGGGTGAGAGGGTGGGAGAAGGCCAAGAGGCCCAGCAACCTCGGATGCCAACTCCGTGCGGTGCCTTCTTGCACACTGTCACGCCACTCCTCCCAGCCACCCTCTAAGGTACCCACTCTTTTTCTTTCATGTAAAATTGGAGAATCCAGCCAACCAGAGAGCAGTAATTGGTTCAAGGTCATGCAGATGGAAAAGGAGCTGGGATTGGAACTTAGACCTGTCTGATTCCAATTATTATGTTACTTTACCCAAAACACCAGGTTTCAACAGCACTAATCACAGTGCCAGCCCTGGGCCAGCAGCAAGAGCATCTCCAGAGCTCGTTAGAAACACAGATTCCCAGGTGCTGGCCCAGAGCTGCTAGATCAGACTGGGTGGGTGGGAGGAGGCGGCAGGTTCTAAGAAACTCGCAAGCAACTCTTAAGCAGGTTAAAATTTGAGAATCATTGGATTAAACCACAAAAAATTTTGCCATTTTGAGGGAAACAAAAGAAAAAATAAACAAATGGGACTACATTAAACTAAAAAGATTTTACACGGCAAAGGAAACCATTAATAAAACAAAAAGACAACCTACTGAATGGAAGATTTTTGTCAATGATATCTACACTGATAAAAGAGAAAGATGCAAATTGACCGTACCTTTGTGATGCACACCAGCCAATCAGGAGTGAGTATGCAAATTAACCCAACAAAGATGGCGGGTTAATTTGCATACACAGGTGCTGAGCGGCTGGGGACGGGGCAGGATGCTTGCATCACTGCTATGGTGACAACACAGGCATTCTGCATCGCCCCAGTTGCTCCAGGCCTCTGGGCAGTGTGGGAAGGCGGAAAGGCGGCTTCAGCCTGAGCGAAGGCAGTGCTGGCAGCCAGGGGAAGGAAGGCCCATTCTCGCATGAGTCTTCGTGCATGGGGCCTCTAGTATCTTATAAAGGGCTAATATCCAAAATTTATAAAGAACTTATACAACGCAACACCAAAAAAACCAAACAAATCCAATCTTAAAAATGGGCAAAGGACCTGAATAGACACTTCTCCAAAGAGGACACACAAATGGCCGATATAGGAAAAGATGCTCACCATCACTAATCATCAGAAAAATGCAAGTTACAACCATAATGAGATATCACCTCACACCTGTCAGAATGGCTATCGTCAATAATCCATAAACAACAAGTGTTGGAGAGGATGTGGAGAAAAGGGAACCCTTGTGCACTGGTGGTAGGACTGCAGATTGGTGAAGCCACTATAGAAAACAATAGAGAGCATCCGAAAAAATTATGGCCCAGCGATTCCACTTCTGAAGAAACCTAAAACACTAACTGGAAAGAATATATGCACTCTTATGTTCACTGCCTCATTATTTACAATAGCCAAGATACGGAAGCAACCCAAGTGCCCATCACCAGAGGAGCGGATAAAAAAGTGGTGATGCGTATATACAATGGAACATTACTCGGCCATAAAAAAGACTAAAATCTTATCATTTACCACAGCATGGATGGGCCTAGAAGGTATTATGCTGAGTGAAATTAGTCAGTCAGAGAAAAACAAATATCATATGATTTCACTTATACGTGGACTCTAAGGAACAAAATAAACAAACAAAATTGAAACAAACTCATAGATACATAGAGAACAGACTGATGGTTGCTAGAGGGGAGAGGAATTGGGGGATTGCGTGAAAGAGGTAAAGGGATTAAGGTATAAATTGGGCCCTGGCTGGTGTGGCTCGGTTGGTTGGGCATCATCCTGTGCACCACAAGGTTTCTGGTTCCATTCCCAGTCAGGGCACATGCCCGGGTTGTGGGTTGTGGGGATGTGCAGGAGGCAGCCAATCCATGTTTCTCTCTCTCCCTCTCCCTTCCTCTCTCTCTAAATAGCAATAAAAAATATATTAACAACAACAATAAAAAAGAAGTACAATTGGTCGTTACAAAATAGTCACGGGGCTGTAAAGTCCAGTATAGGGAATATGGTCAATACTATTGAAATAACTAGCTCTAGTACTAGGTGGGGAATGGAAATACCAGGGGGAACACTTTGTAAAGTATGTGAGTATCTAACCACTATGCTGCGCACCTGAAACTAATGCAAAATAATACTGAATATAAACTGTAATTGAAAAATAAAACTAAAGAAAAAATTTGCCATTTTGGGGGGTTGAGGGGGCAGGAAGAGAAGAGCCATGTATCATGCAGTTCAACTCATAGGAAAAGGGCCCTCGCATGACAGCCCCCTTCAAAGGGAATAACGGAGATAAAAGAACGGGTCATGTCTTGGACACTTGGATTTCCTGGGCAAGGGTGGGGGGGCCACCCAGCCGGCCTCACTCACCACTAGGTTGCCGATGACCATGACCATGAGGAAGACGGTGAGGCACATGGCCTGGCCGGCCACCTCCATGCAGTCCCACATGGTCTCGATCCACTCGCCACACAGGATGCGGAAGATGATGAGGAAGGAGTGGAAGAAGTCGTGCATGTGCCAGCGGGGCAGGCTGCAGTCCGAGGCGATCTTGCACACACACTCCTTGTAGCTCTTGCCGAACAGCTGCATGCCCACCACGGCGAAGATGAACACGATGATGGCCAGCACCAGCGTCAGGTTGCCCAGCGCCCCCACGGAGTTGCCGATGATCTTGATGAGCATGTTCAGCGTGGGCCACGACTTGGCCAGCTTGAAGACCCGCAGCTGCCGGGCGGGAGGAGGGCAGGGGCGAATGAGGCCCAGGGACCCCTGGTCAACCCGGGGGAGCCCTATCCTTAGGGGAAAGAATCATCTTGAACAGCTCGATCCCCCATTCCCTGAGTGATTGGAAGGCCTGTTTGCCTCTCTGTTAAATGAGAACATTCATATCCTACTACCTCATGCACTTCATATGTTCAAAAGGAAAAAAAAGTCCGTATTTGTCAAAGATACAGATAAAGCTTCCAGCCAGTGTAAGTCAGTGGTCGATAGTCAACCTATGAACCAGGAGGTCACGATGCCTGGGTGGGCACCGGTAGGGGGCATGTAGGAGGAGCCAATCAATGATTCTCTCTCATCATTGATGTTTCTATCCCTCTCTCTCTCCTTTCGCTGAAATCAATCTAAAAACGCCACATATTTAAAGATACAGATAAAGTGTTTACAAGTGAAATTATATGTTGGGATTTGCTTTAACATACTCTCCTCCACAAAAAGTGGGGGGACAGATGAAACAAGAGCAGCCGACTATTGATGGCAATTGAAGCTGGGTGATAGGTACACAGAGGTTTATTATACTTTACTAGAGGCCCGGTGCATGAATTCATGCATGGGTGGGGTCCAGCCAGCCTGCTCTGATCGGGGCCGGCCACAGGGAGGGTCCAAGGGCAGCTGGTGGGCCGGCCCCACCCCCGATCTGGGTGGGGGGGGGGCTGATCGGGGATGGGGCCAACCAGGGGGAGGGTCCGCAGGTGGTTGGCCAGCTGTCTCACCCCCTGGTTGAACTCCCCAGTCGAGGGGACAATTTGCATATAGCCTTTTTATTATATAGGATACTTTTGTGGATGCATGAAAGGTCCCAGAATAAAGTTTAAACAAATAATAAAAGTGCTCCCAGGGGGTGGTGGAAAGGGCACTAATTCAGAGCTCCGATTCTATCACTAAAGATCCTCCCAAGCCTTAGCTTTCAGGGCTACAGTCCGGGCCAAAGTGCCTGTTCCACAGCCACCCAAGGTCACAGGGGTCAAGCTCCTGGGCTGTCATTTGGGCTCCCAGCAGCCCTGAGTGATAGGGGAGGGGGCTCCCTTTCTTCCTATTTTCAGTAGGAAAATCCCCACCCTGCCCCTCTCCCACCCCGGCCCGGGGCTCACGCACCAGACGGAAGGAGCGGAGCACCGACAGCCCCTGCACGTTGGCCAGGCCCAGCTCCACCAGGCTGAGCGTGACGATGATGCTGTCGAAGATGTTCCAGCCCTGCTGGAAGTACTCATAGGGGTCCAAGGCGATGAGCTTCAGCACCATCTCTGCTGTGAAGATGCCCGTGAAGACCTGTGGGGTGGGGGGCGGCCCCGTCACAGGTCACAGAGCTTCCGGGAGCACAAGGCTTTGAGAGTCTCCTACCCGACTCCCACCTCCTGGCAGAGCCTGTGGGGCCCAGAACCCTGAAGGGGCAGGTAGTGGTGCCCACGGCACCCGAGTGTGCGTGTGAGTGAGGAGTGGGATGGCCATTCCACAGGGGAGATGGGGACCAACCAGAGACCTGGGCCCTTCCGTTTTTGGCCATGTGACCGAGGGCCAGCCCTCAACTTCTCGGGGCCACTCACAGAATATTTAACACTCACAGAGGGCTTTGTGGTTGCCATGGTAACCTCATTGGTATGCTGGTTTCGGTGTAATTGAAGGGATTATCACACCCGGCTCAGGAAAAGGAAATTGAGGCTCAGAGAGGTTAGCGGGAAGTGCTCGGTCGTGCTGCCCACATGGGAACGAGTCAAGTCTCAAACCCGCTTGATTCAGTGTCCTGTTTCTGCTCCCTACAGCCTCTCTACCCTCCCTGGCATGGGTCTCAGGACCCAGCCTCTTGGTGGACTTGGAAGTCTAGGGCAGGGGCCAAAAGGAGGCAAAGTTGGGAACAATGAGGAGGCCAGAGCTGCCTCACCCCCAAACACAACCCTCTATATGGCGTCTGAGGGCTGCAGAGTCCCTGAAAACTGGCCCCTCTCCCCCAGGGCACGGCCCCCCTCCTGCCAGACACCAGCTGCCCTGGGTCCCCAGCTTGCCCTGGCACATGCTGAGCCCCGCCCAGGAGCTGTCCCTGGCCATAGCAGGTGCCCAGTCGGCAGCAGAATGTGGGCAGGGGGTGAGCAGGCTGTGGGCCGGCCCCATCACGTACACCCCAGCAGCTGCACCAAGTCCAGAGCACGCCCTGGCCCCTCCGGCCCAGCCCGGCCACGGCTGCTCGGGCATCTCCACAGAACAGACTTGCCTGCCTCCCAGGCTGGGGACTCCAAGGTCCGAATCCCTTGCTATCCACCCAGGCCTGTCCTTCCTCAAGCCTCACATCTCACTCTCCTAGGCCCCCCTGACCCTCAGGGTCGGGAGCGTCTGGCCCATCTGCCATCCTGAAAACATTTGAGGGAAACTGAGAAGGGAGGGCAGGGCTGGAGGAGGAGGCGGCTTTTTCCCTTTGTCAGGCTCCACCGTGGCTGGCAACGAGGTGATAATGCTCCTAATGGGTAGGGATAAGCAGGCGGATCAGTGTGTGTCAACAATAGCGGAGCAGGCAGGGCTGCGGAGGGTAGTAAGCCTGGCCTCGCTGGAGAAAGGGGACGGGCAGGGGGCTGAGGGTTGGGGGACTATGCCCTGGGGCCTCCAGGATGAGCTGGGGCCTCTTGGGCCAGGGTGCCCATGGCTATCTGTCCTACTTTTGGGTCCCGTAGTCCCTCTTAGGCCCACAACAAACAACCTCTAAAGGTGGAGAGACCTGTCACCCAGTCCCCCCACCTCCGTTGCCTCAACTCCCCCGTATCTGCATCCATGGCATGACCTGGACTCCAGATCCCCGGAGTCCTGATCTTAAGGATTCCAGAACCTCATCCCCACTCTCTCTGCTCCCAGCTATCCTGAAACCCAAATACATCCCGTGGATCACCCCATATACCTTTCTTGTACATCAACTTATGTCCCCCACATGCTGGGAAAATAACCCCAGCCTGTCCACATATGCCCCCCAATAGTGCCCCATATTTCCACACAGCTGAGAGGGCTTCATCAGGCCCTGTGTCCTCTCTCCTGTCCTGCCTGGGAATGACCACCCCTCCCTTGTCCCCTCCCTACCAGGTTGCCCACGCTGAGCACGTGGTCAAATTCCTCTGTCATGGGGTAATGCTCCATGGCCATGAAGAGGGTGTTGAGCACGATGCAGATGGTGATGCCCAGGTCCACGAAGGGGTCCATGACGATCAGGTGGATGATGTTCTTGAACTTCATCCATGGGGCGCAGCAGTTCCATATGAGCACTTTGTGGGCACACTTGTACCACCACGGTGGGCATTTCTGGTGGGCCTCTTCCAGCTCTGGGGGTAGGGTGGAGTCAGACACGTGATGTGACCCCCTCTCAGTGGCTACCTTCCTCCACTTGGTCTTTGGGGCTCCCCAAGCCCTGCCTTTTAGATCACATCTCAAACCCCACCCCTCAGGGCCCCCTACTCCAAGCCACACCTTTCAGTGCATCACCCTCAAAACCCAACCCTTTAGACCAGCTGTGGGCAAACTACGGCCCGCGGGCCGGATCCGGCCCGTTTGAAATGAATAAAACTAAAAAAAAAAAAAGACCGTACCCTTTTATGTAATAATGTTTACTTTGAATTTATATTAGTTCACACAAACACTCCATCCATGCTTTTGTTCCGGCCCTCCGGTCCAGTTTAAGAACCCATTGTGGCCCTCGAGTCAAAAAGTTTGCCCACCCCTGCTTTAGACCCTGCCCCCCAAAGACCTGCCCCTTAGCGGCCTTTGCCCCAGGCCCCTTCTCTCAATGGGCTAGTTCAAGCTTCCGCCTTCTTGACACAACCCACAAAGCCCTGCCCCTCAGTGACTGTCACCCCTGCCAGCGGCCCAGGACAGTGATCCTGCACCCTGCTCTCGCAGTGCCTGAGGGTCCCTGGTGGGAGGTCACTGCTGGGGGTCAGTTCCCAGTTCCTCCTGCCGCTGGCCAGTGCCACTGGGGAGCAGACTGGGATCCCCCTGTGGGCTCTTTATCGCTTTGGCAGTAATGCCGGCCCCTCCAGACTGTTCCCAGCCAATCAGTCACTTCCCACCAGAGTGGCTTTCTGGAAATGTCCCCTGTTCTTGCTGCCCTAGCTCAAAAGCCCGTAAGGCCCCATGGATAAAGCTGCTCCTCCACCTGGACTTCCAGGCCTGTGTTGCTGTGGGAATCCTCAGCCCAGGCATGATCCCATTTCATTCCCACCAGAACTTCATACATGCTGTTAGTGCCTCCATCTCATAGAGAAGGAAAGGGGATTGGAGTGGGGCAGTCCCATGGATCCTTGGATTTGCAAGCATGATTGGGACACCCCAGGGGTGGGGGTGGCTGACTCTCACCCCCATCCAGGAGTTAGCAACCTGGGCCTCTCATAAAGGCTACACATTCTAGTCCAGCGGTTCTCAACCTGTGGGTCGCAACCCCTTTGGGGGTCGAATGACCCTTTCACAGGGGTCGCCTAAGACCATCGGAAAACACATATATAATTACATGTTGTTTTTGTGATTAATCACTATGCTTTAATTATGTTCAATTTGTAACAATGAAAATACATCCTGCATATCAGATATTTACATGACGATTCATAACAGTAGCAACATTACAGTTATGAAGTAGCAACGAAAATAATTTTATGGTTGGGGGTCACCACAACATGAGGAACTGTATTAAAGGGTCGTGGCATTAGGAAGGTTGAGAACCACTGTTCTAGTCTGACCTTAACAACGCCACCCCACCCCCAGCCTGGCTGCTACTGCAGGTGCTACTGCCAAAAATTCTCACAACCATCCAGCAAGGGCAGTGTTGAGTGATCTCCTAGGCCAGCTCTGCCCAGCATTCTCTGGGGCATTCTCTGGCAGGGCACCCATACCTGGATGCCTGTCATACAAGGTTAGGTGAGATGGTGCCCTCTAGAGGTGTGCAAAGTCCTCTAGGATGGCGGTCGCCAACCATTGGGACCTCACGGACCACCAGTTGGCAACCATTGCTCTAGGACCTCCAAGTCCTTCCTAACACAAGTGGCCTGGGAAGGGAACCAGATCTCTTCTATGACAGATTTCCTTCCTTCCCTCACTCCCTCTCTCTCTCTTTTCTTCCCTCCCTCCTTGTCATTCATCCATATACCCATGTGTTTCTTCCCATTCATTAATCTTTCAGCCTGTCCATCTATCCATCATCCATTCATCATCCATTCATCCATCCATCCATCATCTATCCATCCAGTTGTGTAAATCTATCTACCTTCTTTTTATTACCTCATGCTTATCCTCCTCCTGAGACTTGGGGAGCAGCACGGGCATTTGAGGGAGTCTGTGACTCTACCTGGGCAGAGTCTGGCCTTTGGCCTTTAACTTTTACCCAGAGACATTTGAGGAGCAGGATCTCCCATTTCCGGAACTTTGGGCCTTCCTGGTTAGTATTAGTATCCTGTCCTCCATTGCCTTGGCAGCCCCCAAGGCCCTCCCGGAAGCCCCCATTTCCCGTGGCAGCCTGGCCTTGCAGCCAGAACGGGGCAGGGTAAGCCAGGACTATATTTATCGTGGCCATTTCTTCGATGCCAATATTAAGTTACTGTCCTCCTGAAGCTGGGCCCAGCCAGCCCCACCCTCACTTCCCCAGGAGCCCAAGTGGCCTGATGGGCAGGACATGCAGTGTAGGATGGGTATGGGGGAGCCGGGCACTCACCTTCCATAGCATCTGAGATGGCGCTGTCTGCGCTGCAGCTCGGCCGTGGGGGCCCCTTCTCCCCTGGTGATGTGTCCAGGCTGCCATTGCAGTCTTTGCTGTGGGCTGGGTCACCTTCTGCCTCCGCATCTTCCAGAGCCTGGGCAGCCTTGGCCTGTGGACCGGCAGGGTGATGGGCATGAAGTCCATTTCTGAGCCAGGAGGATGGACTGATTGACTTTCAGAGCTTCCTCACGAATCCTTTAGGATGGGGCCCCTCTTCTTGGCCTGCACTGAGCCTAGTGGTGGTCCAAAGTGACAGAGGACCCTCATCCTTGGAGACCCTCTACTCTGACGCCGTGACTGAGCCTGCACTTCGTGAGATGATGAGAGAGTGGGTACTCCTCCCTGGGGCCTCATTAGGACCCGCCCCTCTCTTGACAGGGACCCATATTCTGCCCAGAAAGAATCACTAAATCATAGATATTCAAGTTGGAAGGCTACTCTGATTCCTTGTCACATATGGGGAAACTGAGGCACAGAGCTGCAAAATACTCTTTCTACTGCCTGGATGTCTCCCATCCGACCAAAGCCCCAGCCGGGGGCCTCTGCTCCCCCTGCCTCCAAGCCCCGCCCCTTCCTCTCCCTCACCCTCAGCCTGCCCAGGAGAACCCAGGCTGAGGGGCAGGGAGATAGATCCCTGGGTCCTCGGCCTCCTCTCTCTGATTCCAGACCTTCTCCATTTCCTCCTGATGCTTTTTGTATTTCTCCAGCAACTGCTGAAACTCCTCTTCTCTCTCCAGATCCTCAGCCATGTTGGCCTCGTTCTGCTCAGCGTAGGCCATGGCCACCACCGCCAGGATCAGGTTGATGAGGTAAAAGGAGCCCAGGAAGATGATGACCACAAAGAAGAGCATGTAGGTCTTGCCAGCTGCTCGGAGGGTCTGGGGGTGGGGGCAGGACAGGAAGTATCACATGGTGCCCGCCTGCTTCACCCACCACCCCTCTCCACACACCCATAGCCCAGAGAGGTAAACAGAGAGGGTCCCTCAGAGAGCCTGATGATTTGAGCCAGGGTCTGGTCATCCTTAACAGGCTAAACCACACTCTGGGGAACTTCCAAATGTATACCCAGGACCCAGACTATCCTGGTCTCCTGACTCAGAGAGCCCTGAGGACCAGCCAGACATCGTGAGGTCAGAGAGCCAGGATAAAAAATGGTGAACATGGGCTATGGGGGCTTGAGTCCTAGCTCTGCAATGGTGCCTGGTGTCTTCTAAGAGCTCAACAGATAGTAGTTATTATTATTATTACTATTTTCAATAATATCATCAGTGTTAGAAGTATCACCAGGGACCAGAAGGCATTGTTGCTCCAGACTCAGCCTGTTCTGCAAACAGTAGAGCTAAATAATTGTGTCTGGGGCCCTGGCTGGTTTGGCTCAGTGGATAGAGCGTTGGCCGGCAAACTGAAGGGTTGCAGGTTCAATTCTGGTCAAGGGCACGTACCTGGGTTGCAGGCTTGATCCCTGGCCCCAGTCAGGGTGCATGCAAGAGGCAACCACTCGATGTGTCTCTCTCACATTGATGTTTCTCTGTCTGTCTCTCCCCTTCCCTTCCACTCTCTCTAAAGATCAATGGGAAAATGTCCTCGTGTGACGATTAGACAACAAGTTAAAAAAATAAAAAATAAAAAATTGTATCTGGGTAGAGTTGAATTTCTAAGCTGCCCTGTGGTACTGCGAGGTCTGGGGATCTGTGCCGGGCCTGGATCTCAGCAAAGATGGAGAAGGATAAAGAGGCTATGGCTCAGATCTGGGCAGATACCCAATGTTGGGGGCTCTAAGAAGCTGTCTGTATGTAGGGGCACTGAGGGGGTCCCACAGGTGAGACAGCCCTGCTGGGGGTCCTGCCAGGCGACGAAGAGGCTGTGGGGATGAGGGAGGTTCTAGGGCTGAAGAGCAGGGTGGGGCAGCTGTACCAGCTGGAAGAGGTTCTCCCAATAGTCCTGTGTCATGAGGCGGAAGAGAGACAGGAAGGCCCAGCTGAAGGTGTCATAGCTGGTGTAGCCATAGTTGGGGTTCCGCCCAGCCTTTATGCACAGGTAACCCTCGGGGCAGCGCCTAGGGATAGAATGGGGTCTGGTTTTAGGGAAGAAGGAGAGCTCCAACTGGGGGCCAAGAAAGGGGGCACCAAGGGGAGGAAATGCTTCAGTCCTGTGTCCCAGAAACAGGGAGATGTTCCATCCACGCCCATAGGTTTCCCCTCTATTCCCATCCTCCCCTGGTCCTTGGCCCTGAGCAGCCCCCCGTTTTCTGACACCCCTGTGGCATCTTTTCCCATCGCCCAGCATCACTCACCCAGCGTCGCTGCTGTTCCCACAGAGCAGGGCGTCGAGGGCACCCTCCAGGAAATAGAAGTTCCCTTGGGGGTCAGAGGCCACAGAGGATACACGTCACCACATGGACACACCATGGGCACATGTCACTGCACACCTGGGGACACATCTGTGTGGACCGCACCAAACAGCTGCTTCCTGGTACCCCCCCCCTCCTTTAGGGGCATCCCCAAATCCTAAGGTCTCTGGGTAGATACATGGCAGGGAGCTCAGCTCCAAGTGGTGTGAGCTCAGTGCCTGGTGTGGTTGCACAGTCAGAATGAGCAGGGACACAGAGAGACGGGAGGAACATGTATGTGTGTGCATGGGGCTACCATGTGTCTGCGCAGGGCCCCTGACTGAGGGCTGAGGCTGGGGGACGAGGAGGCCAGACCCAGGGTACCAGGCTGAAGAAGGGGTACCTGTTTCTAATTTGCCAGAAGGCATTGTGTAGACGAATGGTGGCCGTGGGAGGATGTGTGCCTTGTGTGTGAGTATGTAAAGTGTGAGTATGTAAACAGGATGTGGGTGTGTGGGTGCCTGGTGGAGGCCCTGCCAGGGAGTGCAGAGGTTAAGGACGAGGGAACACGGACTGCTGCTTCATATGGTGGAAGCTTCAGGATTTCCCAAGCAATTTGGCATTTGTTGTCCTATTAACCCTTTGAGAAAGGTGTTGTCATCTCAGTTTTCCAGGTGAGGACTCAGCATCAGGGAGACCAAGTGACTTGTCAGAGGCAAGTGGTAAGTGATGGATCTCAGCTCAGGTCCTCTCCTGATATGTATTTTATGGGGGGGCTGCCCTCGGGACTGGGACTGGCCCCCCTGGCCTTCCAGCCTCCATCCAGCCTCCATCCTTACCTTCATCACTGATGTAAGCATCCCAATCAAAGGTGTAGTTGCTGGCCCTGCTCTCCGGGGTCGTTGCCGTACCAGGTGTCGTTGCTGTCCCAGGTGTCGTTGCCGTACCACAACTCATTGTCGTACCACGTGCTGTTGGTGTCGTTGAAGGGTGGGGGCCACCGCACGCACTTCTGCCGCAGGTTTCCCATGAAGAGCTGCAGCCCCACCAGGGCGAAGACGCTCAGGCAGAAGACGGTGAGGATCATCACATCCGAGAGCTTTTTCACCGACTGGATCAGGGCCCCCACAATGGTCTTCAGACCTGACCGTAGGGTGGGTAAGAGTATGGACGGGGAGCAGGCAGGGCAGGGTGGTAACTCCCTCCCTCATCCTCCAAGCCTCTGCCTACTCCATCTCCTCAAGACCTGACTTACCAGGGGCACCACTTCCCGGAAAGCTTCCCAAATTAACCCCACTCTTCTCTGATCACGTCCATAAGCAGGAGCCTTCGATGGCCACAGAATCTCAGCCACCAGGAGAATGGGCTATAAAGACTTCACGGGCTGCTGCCTGACTCACGGAACAGCACACAGTGGAGCGTAATAAATGTCACTAGGGCCTGGCTGTTTTGCTCAGTGGTTAGAGCATCGGCCTGAGGACCAAAGGGTCACAGGTTTGATTCCCGGTCAAGGGCATGTATCTCAGTTGCAGGCTTGATCCCGGCCCTGGTTGGGGCACATGCAAGAGGTAACCAATGATGTGTCTCTCTCACATCGATGTTTCTCTCTTCCCCTCTCCCCTCCCCTCAACTCGAAAAAAATCAATGGAAAAAATATCCTCAGGTGAGGATTAAAAAAGTTAAGAGAGAAATATACATTTAAAAAATAGATATAAATAGAAAACAAACAAAAAAATAAACGTCACTAGGTCAGCATTCCCAAAGTGTGTTCCACAAAACACTAATCTCCCAAATTGTGCCCTTAAAGGGGAGCGGGTATTCAATAATGTTCGGGAAAGGCCGAGCTGTGTATTTCTCTTGGAGAGTCACTGTGTAGATCATCTAATCTAAGGCTCTGACAAGTCCTCCAGAAACAAACAAAAACTTCTAATACCACGTTTATTAACGTACTCGGTCACAGAACCCCTTTCCCGATAATGCCTGTCAACCCCCAAGGAATAGCGGGGTTCACGCTGAGAAGCTCTAGACCAGCGGTTCTCAACCTGTGGGTCGCGACCCCTTTGGTGGTCGAACGACCCTTTCCCAGGGGTCGCCTAAGACCATCCTGCATGTCAGATATTTACATTATGATTCATAACAGTAGCAACATTACAGTTATGAAGTAGCAACGAAAATAATTTTATGGTGGGGTCACAACATGAGGAACTGTATTTAAAGGGCCAGAAGGTTGAGAACCACTGCTCTAGATTGATTTGGTATGATCATCGCATTTGGCCCTTTGGATGGACAGCGGCATAAACAAAACTTAGGGAATTCCAGGAACCGATTCCCATCATTTATGGAAGAGCCCTTCCCTTGGGCCTAATCATAGCGTCTCTCGCTTCAGTATTAGTTTATTTCCTTTTCTTATCCTGGCATAGACAAGAGATGCTCAGCAGCCTCCTTATAAAAGCCCGCCAGAGCTCCAAGGATGCTGGGAGTATGGCATCGAGGAAAGGTGCTGTGGCCTTGGCTCCGTGGCTGGTGTTTGGCCTTCGGTCAGCACTTGCCCCTACTGGGGTCTCTTGGGGCCTCCTTCCCGCACCGCAGTGTGAGGCCTTTGGTCTACAGGAAAACTCAGGTGCTTTCTAGCATGAAGACGGAGCCATTTCCCCTCCTCCCAGAGCCTGCTCGCCATCCCTTATTGCCTTTCTCTCCTCTAATGAGCCTTCTCCAGTTTCTACACGTGCTTTTTTGAGGGTCTGGATGATCTGGGTTCTATTTATTTCCTGCTTCCTGATGCATTACTTTGGAATTGCCCGGCCCCATGGCTCAGTGGGCAGCGTGCTCCCTATGGAGCCTCAGGGCCGGGACTTTCCACACTGGTCCCTGTGTGTCTCGGCTGGAGGTCGCTGCTCTGCACACTGGCCGTGCACTAGTGCTCTAAGTACCCTACTGATATTAAAGCATTTGATCCCCATAACGGCCCCAGGCACGGCACTGTTATTATCCACATCCTACAGATACTGAGGCACAGACAGCGTAAGCCACTGGCCCAAGGTCAAAGTTAGGAAATGGTGGAGGTGAGAACTGACATAGGCAGTCTGGCTCCAGAGTCTGTGCTCTTCCCCCCTTGCTATGCAGCCCCTCAAATGCCCATCCTCCAACGGGCCCTTTTCTCCTCTCTGGCCGTGGGACACCCGCTGTGTCCACGCTGTGGTGTGTGTCTTACACACTCAGCCTGGGAGTCTTGTGACCCTGGGTCAGGCTCCTGGAACTAGAGTGTCAGGTTCCAGGCCTGGGCATGAGGGTGGGGGGCTGTTGACCCCAGCGGAGGGTCCCTGCACCTCCCCAGTACCTGGGATGACTGTGATGGTTTTCAGGGCCCGCAGCACCCGGAAGGTTCTCAGGGCGGAGATGTTGCCCAAGTCCACAAACTCCGTCACGTACCTGGGTGGGGGTGGGGGTGGGGTCAAGGCTGTGTCAGAGCCGGGGGTAGGTGAGAGGACAGAAATCAGGAATCCTTGTAGTTGGGGTTCCCACAGGGGGCCTATGGGAGCCTGAGAGTTGGGAGAGAGGGCAGGAGCTTGGCTGGGGAGTGGGTATGGCCTCCCAGTGGGTGAGGCCTGGGGCTCAGAGCTGTTGTAGGCTCAGGGCTGCTGTGTGTGGTTGTACATGGTGTGTGTGTGTGTGGGGGGGGGCAGCAGGAGAGCCTTCAAGCCAGACCCTGGGATGGTGGCTCCCGGAGTTGCACCCCTGCCCCGAGGCCCCTGCAGTCCACCCTCTGAGAGGGGAGCCCACTCAGCTGCTCTCTTTGAGGCCTGGCCCTCTCCGCTCCCCTGGCCACAGCCTCAGGACACCCTGGGCCCCTGCTCACGCCATCGTGATGACGCTGAAGTCCAGCCAGTTCCAGGGGTCCCGGAGGAATGTGAAGTCATCGATGCAGAAGCCTCGGGACAGCATCTTGATGAAGGATTCAAAGGTGTAGATCCCTGTGAAGGTGTACCTGGCGGGGAGAGGGCCGGCCAGGGCCAGGTGTGTCATGCCCGGGTAGGGGTGTGGGTGGCAATGATGGACCTCCCAGGATGGAGGGGCATAGAAGTGAAATATGCCGCCCGGGGCTGAGGACGTTGGTGAGAATGACAGTGTGTGCCACCTGGAGGCTTAAGGTGTCGATGGGGTGATAGTGACGGTATGTGTCCCCCGGGAACACAGTCCTCAGAGTGCGGACACCTGGGATGGGCGGAACCCCAGGGCCAGAGGGGTGGGGCTGGGGAAGGTTGTGGGAGGGGAGGAGAGACTTACTCCACGTTCTTGGACCAGGAAGGCGGATCACTCATGGTCATGAACACGCAATTGGTCAAGATGGTGATCATGATGAACATGCTGAACAGCGTTGGGGGGAGGGTCAAGGAAAGTGAGGGAGCAGGTGGGGAAGGGAGGTGGACAGAGGGCCTCCTCGCCCACAGCACCCCGTTTTGCTTATCCCTACCCCCGCCTCTGCCTCTCCCCGCCCTGCGCTCGCCCTCTCAGCAGGATATGAGTGGATGAGCACCTTGATGGCGCCGCGTCTGATGATGTTGAAGGGGCTCAGCAGGTAGAGGGCGGGGGTGGCGGAGAAGCGGAAGATGGACTTGCCCTTGTTGAGCACGATGAAGGTCTGAGGCAGGGAGAGAGCTGTGAGGCCTAGGGACAGGCAGACAGACGGACGATGCACAGACAGGCAAAGCAAAGCCTCCCAGGCCCCCACCTTCTTGTCACTGTAGTAAGGGTCCAGGTCCTCCAAGGGGATGCCGATGACCTCTGGCGGGGGGTCCCCATAGATAAGGGGCAGGTTCTTGCCAGCCTCCAGGTCGCCCCGTGGCTTCCGCTCAGGCTCCGTGATCTCCATCTCCTTGTTCCGCTGCTGCCGGGCCGCCTCCTCCACTATCCGCTGTTCTATGGCTGCCAGGGACTCCTGGGTGAAGGGGCGCAGGCTGTGGGGGCCCACAGGCACCACGGTGGACAGAGACAGGCGGGCCATCCTTGCATCCTGGGTTCAGGGGCCAGGAGGGCAGTGGGCAACAAGGGCAGCTGTAGCGTGCAGGCCCCCAAATGCTGGGTGGCCACCCGCCCACGGGCCAGGCTGGGGGGGTGGGTGTGCAGGTGCTGCTGGGATTGCAGTGTGTGCCTGCAAGGCCTGAGCGCTGCTGCTGTCCAGGTATTGGACGCAGGAGCATCACCCCCGAGCCCCACGCCACATTCTCCCCAGCAGGGGTTGGCCGCCCTCAGGACTGATGACAAACCAACCAGATCCTCTTCAGCCTTGGGGATTTGGGGTCAGTGCCCCAGTGCCCTCAAATGCCTCCTGGGCCTGAGCTCCGGGAACAGTGTGGCTTCAGCCTACAAGGAGAGAGAATCACAACAAGCTATTATACACCCACGGCCTCCATGCCCACGTGGGGCAAAGAGGAGCCAGGTGTGAAATGTGCTGGTGGCCTGGTGGGATCAGCCTTAAGCACGAATGGCGGATGGATTTCACCTTGAGGGTCAACTTGGGTTGGCTGCTGTTGGCTGCCAGGAGATGTGAACAGAGACCGTTGAGGTTGCAGCCAGACTCAGTGCAAAAAGACTGCTGTGATTGATTAGTGATGTCTGCCAGGGGCATCCCAGTGCATCTGCCTGTGTTTGCCATCCCTGGCCAGGAGGGAAGGGAAAGCTGTGGGTTGTGGGGTGTGGAGTGTCCTGTCCTGAGCCTTGGGGAAGTGTGATATTGGGCTAGAAGGAAAGGCCCTAGGCCCTGCGGAGGGTCCCACCAGCTCCCTCCCACAGGACCTGTGGAATCTAATCCACAGGCAGGCAGGGTAGATGGAGCAGGAAGATGCAGGGTACGTATGTGTGTGTGTGGGGGGATGGGCTGCAGATGATAACATGGAAAAGGTGGACACACACGAAAGGTCATGGGCACAAGGAGATGGACAGTTTCAATGGTGGGGGCAGGGCTGGAGCTCCCAGCGACTGTTTTTGGCTGGTGGTCCCTGGATGAACTGGGTGGATGAAGGGCACCCACCAGGAGCTTTAGAGGCCTGTGAGCACTGTGTGGACTGTGTCCTGGGCCAGTCCCTTGGCCTCTGCTGCCCCTGCCCAGCCATCGTGAGCCTGTTCCCTGTGGAAGGGAGGTAATGGGTCACTTATCTCAAAGGCCCTGGGGAATGACCCACATCAGCAGGGAGACCCCTGCAGCCTGGTCACATGTAGCCACCATGGGGCCCACACAGACAGCCTCCACAGAGCCACCCAGAGCCACACTAGGGGTGGCAGCCTTCTCACAGTGGGCCCACACGCCCCAGCAGGATCCCTGGCCCAGCCAGTGCGGGCACTTCCTCAGGCTTGGTCAACAGGTGGGAGGGCGGCCCAGGGAGCGGCCAGAGCCATTGGGCAGAGCTGGCCACGCCCCCGCCTGGCTGCCCAGCTGCTCTCTACCATCATCACCCGGGGAGTCGGGAGTCGTGTTTCCACAGGATGACTCTGCTCATTCCTGCTGACCCTGTCCCCCAGCTGCTCATTGGCCCCTTCGTGTGCGTGGGAGTGTGGATGCGTGAGCACGCACATGCATACACGCACACACATCCAGCCCAAAACCACCCCTCGCACGGGTGGTCCCCATAGTTTGTACCCTGCCCCTTACCCTGCCCCTGAGCACACACCTTCCCGCCTTCATCTCCAACACCATCCCACACACCACCCACACGGAAGATGCTGACCTGCCAGGTGACCATGGAGGGACCCCACGGCCGCTGGGCACCCTCCCAGTCACGGGCCCCCGTTGGCAACAACCCTCTGGGCGATGCTGCCCGCTCTCGCCTTTGCAGAGCCCAAGAGGGACCGCAGACGCCAGAGTCAGGCTGGCTCCGGCCCCAGCTCTCGAAACTACGCTCAACGACGCTCACCTGAGGCCCCCAGCGGACAGCCCCAGCGGTTTCCACTCGCTGGCCCTCCCTCCAGCACTCACACCACCACCGAGAGAAGAACCAGACGGTCCTTCCGGCCTCTCCCTCTGCTCTGAGCTCCTCCTTCCTGCTCCTGGAAGATGCTGCTTCCCGGGGCCCCGGTCACAGCCGCACCTCCCCCTCGCCACAGCCGCATCCACCACCCGCCTCCTTTCCGTGGCTCTACAGCTTTAACACGTCTGTTCCCACGCCCCACGGCCCAGACCTGTCGAGTCACGGCTCCCTTTCCTGGCAGCCACAGCCTGCACAGCTCTTAGGTCCATGGTCACTCGTGCCCCGCATGTGTGGTTGTCTGGTGGTGCCTGTCTCCCCCGTCAGCCTCCTTGCGGGCTGGGTTTGGGGTCACCACTGAATTTGGTGCCTGTGGTGTGACCCACAAGTGGCAGGCAGCCCAACACCTCCTCCTGCTGTTCCCCAGCCGGCCCCACTTCATCTCAATTCCTCTCCTCCCACCTGAAAGCCACTTTGCGTCTGGATGTCTTGTTATGCGAGAGGGAAAATGTCCTCGTTGGCCAGGCCAGTTGATGCACGGTTTTGGTTGGTGGCTGCTGAAAGCATCCTGGTGGTACGCCTGGCCAGTCCCCACGCCCTGCTGATGCTCCTTCATCACCGCTTACCTGCTCTATTCAAATAACCTCCCATCTGCCTCTCTACCTACCGCTGGGCTCCCCTCTAACCCACCATCCACATTTCTAAAATCACAAATCTGGT